GACAGCCTGGGGGGCTCTCAGCCCAGGTTAAACTGATCCACCTGCCACCCTGCCCTGCTCCTGCTGCAGCCACTTTCTCCACACCAGCCACCACGGCTCTTCCACGACCATCTCCCTGCCAGTGCCCTCTGTGTGCATCCCACTGGAGCACATCCCTAAGGGAAGCACTTTGTGCCAGGGAAGGCAAAGGACACCTGGCAGAGGTCACAGGCACCAGGACAAAGCCTAACCCAGAACAGGAGCTGTTCACTTTTCCAGGGAGGCCACCCAGGAAGCGCTTGCTCCATCCAGGTGATCCTGCCCTTCCCAGCCACGGCAGCTTTGGAATCCCAGGACTTTCTGAAACAGCACTTACCTTTTCGATCTGTCTTAAAGTCCACCATGATGGGCTCCACGCTGCCTTCCTTGTTCTTCCCCAGCCCTTCTCCTTCTCTCCAGCCCATTTTCCTCATCAGCTGAGCTCCCATTCCTCCAGTGACAGGGGCTGCTCTTAAGAACTGATCCTATCCAGAAAAAGAGAAGTAAAACGAGGCCTGGAGTTAGCACTGGGATTTGAAATAGCAAGTGGGAGCTTCCAAAAAAAATGTTTCTAACAACCTTTCACGGACTGAATTTAAAAAAAAAATCCACCTGAGCTTTGTGGACTTTCAGCCCAAACCAGTGTGTGGCACTCGGAATTCACACGGACACGCGAGACACGAATCAGTGTTTGGCAAAAAGGAACAACTTCAGGAAACTCTGAGGTGATCCCAAAGTGGCAGTGACCTGTTCCAGACAGATGTGTTTGACCAAGCGACAACCAGCCGGTTCTAAACACTCTCTTTGACCCCAGAGATCTCCTGGGCTCGGGAAGTGTTCCGTGTGCCCGGCACGGCCGTGCCAGGAGCTCCTCCTCACCCACAGAACACAAGCACATTCAGGCAGGACATTCAGGGCTCTTTAGGTGTATTTAAATCTAAAAAAAAAAAAAAAAACAACCCTCTCCAAATTGTCTTCGTAACACAGCAATTGCACATTCAAGTTCTACCCTGAAAATCCTCACGGAACAAAGAGCTTCCTCGTTTCCCTCGGGTTTTTTAACGGAAAAAGGCGCTGGGCCCCCCAGTTTAGCAGCAGAGCAGTCGTCACATTCTTTCAAATGAGCATTAATACAGGTTGTTAAATGGTGAAAGCTTAACAGAAAGTTTAAACATCTTGCTTTGATGTAAAGAACCGTAAAAACTCCTTAAAAGTTACGTACCTAGGCCTCGCTGGCACCAGTGTTGGGAATAGTAGGGCTGGCACTGACCGTGGCAAGGAGGCGGCTACAAGGATTTGACCCTGAAACAAGTTTCCATATAGAGGGGTGAAAGTTCACAGGGTATTCTGTGAACCCTCATCTCTCGTGCCCCCCCGCCGGCCCCAGGAAGCAAGTCAAACGTTTCCATCCCACGGACTTGCTGCCTCGGACACGTCACCCCGCACCGAGCGGCTCCAGCGCAGCGCGGGCGGGACGGACACGGACACGGCAACGGCACCGACACGGCAACGGCAACGCGACCCGGCTGGGCCTGCCGGGCTGGGCTGGGCTGGCACGGGAGGAGCGTCCCAGAGCTGCCTTCCCAGCAGACACAGCCCTGCTGCCTGCACTCCACAGGCCTCTTCCCAAACACTCGCAGGGCCCTGCTTGCCCAGGACTGATGGATCCCTGCTCTCCTGACAATCACGGCTCCTCGGTGTCCTGGTATCGACAGATCCCTGATTTCTGGAGACTCGCAGTTTACTGGTTGTCCAAGACTCACAGATCCCTGGTTTCCCAGGACTGATGGATCCCTGGTTTCCCAACACTCACAGGTCTCTGGTTTCCCAAGACTGAAGGATCCCTCGTTTCCCAGGACGCACAAGTCTCTGCTTTCCCAGAAGTCACATGTCCCTCTTTTCCCAAAATTGACAGATCCCTGGTTTCCCAAGACTCACAGATCCCTGTTTTCCCAGGACTCTCAGGTCCCTGGTTCCCTTCATTCCCGTTGCAGAGCCTGTTTTCCAGGGATTCCCCACACCCCAGTGTGGGTGTGCAGGCCCCGTGCAGGGTGGGAGAAGGATCCCAAGGATGTGCTGCACTGTGGCAGGAATTCCCCAGTCCCTGCCCAAGAGCAGTAAATCCCTGGCTCTGCTCTGGATCCATTTGGGATGGAGCTCTGGCTGGGGCACAACCACCGGTCCCTCTGACAAGAGCCCACCAAAGCCCCTTCCTGACTCCCCCTCCCCTCCTGGCCTCTCTGTTCCAGGAATGTCTCCTCAGAGAAGGACACAAAGCCAGCCCGGGACAGCCCGGCCCCGATCCTGGGTTTGCAGCTCCCTGGCAGTGCCTGAATTTGGGAAATCAGCCCCTGTTCCAGCAGCACCCCCTGTGTGTTCAGTTCACAAAGGACACAGAGCAAGCTCCTGCTGAGGTCACTGCAATGTCACCGGCTCCCCACACACCTGCAGTGTCCTGGGCAGGGGGAGGAGAGAACACAATCAAAGCATCCTGTTCCGAGGGAAAAATCCAAGCCCTCAGTTCCCACCCAGGAAAAAGAGCCTGAACAGACTCCAGAAACTGGGAAGAAAAGCTTCTGAATTCCCAAGGGCAGTTTATTCCCAACACCTGTTCGCTGGCTGAACTGGGATCCTGGTGGGAGCTGCAGCAAGAGCTCTGTGCACCCCGGGGACTCCCACGGACCAGCAGGGAGCCAGACATGAGCACAACTGTTACTAATTACCAATAATAATCTCACTCCAGAACACACCAACACCTCTGCATCCCACTAAAAGGCTAAAGGAAGGAATTCTGAGTCCAATGGCAAAGGAGCCAGGAGAAGCCCCAGGTGGATTCAGGTCACTGAGGCAGCAAAGGTTTGCAGCGAGGAAAACCTCCCTCCCTCCTCATTCTGGTTTGGTTTTTTCTTTTAATAATGAAGTGATAATAATTTAATATTAATAGGTGATAATTTAATAATAAACCTCTGATGGCCCCTGTCCATTGTATTTTTTAATAATTTATTGACAGACCACTTCCCTCAGCCCAGGATTTAACGAGTGGAGGGAAAACTACTGCTGGGTTTGGAACTCATTTGAAACATAAACCGTAACAGAAACGGCCACCAAAGCAGGGAAGCAAAATCCACATTTCTGTTCATGTTAAAAACCATCAAAGGCTGAGTTTCCCCAAGCTCCTGAGCAGATTCCAAACCAAGGGGGCTGGGATACAACCATCCCCAGCTTTCTGAGCACTTGGTGACTGCTGCCAGAATTAACTGATTATTTACAAATCAGTTCTCCTTCCCCCACTGATCTCAATTTGAGGGAGCCTGCAGGACAGTTTGATGCCTTTTTCCTCATGTTTGGAGCTCTAAATTCCATGAAATCCCAATTCCATTCTGCCAGCACGAGGAGACTCCAGAGGGTCACATTCCTGCGTCAGCACTTTCTTTAAAGGAAGGTAAAACCTGATCCCTTCCGAGGCTTTGGAGTGGTTTTAATTCACATTATTCCTGATTTTTCAGGTGATTCTTTAGAGCAAGAATTTAGGAAGCAAAAACAAAGCCCTGAGGTGGCAGCTCAGGCACAGCCCAGGGATTAAAGGTCACCTGAACTCCAAGAACTTCTTCAAGTTCCAGGAACAAGCAGGTCTTTGGAAAAACCTGGGCAAAGTTGCTGAATTTTCCATCAAATCCTGAAATATCCTGAGCTGGGAGGGATCCACAGGGATCATACAGTGCAAGCCCTGGCCCTGCCCAGGACACCCCAACACTCCCCCCTGTCCCTCAGAGCGTTGTCCAAACCCTCCTGGAGCTCTGGATCAGGATCTGGAATCTTGCTGGGACCCTGAGGAGGGAATTTGGGGCTGGTCCTGACCTGAAGATGCTCCAGCCCTTTCAGCACCAGTCCCATTCCTTCCCACACCCAAGGGGATGAATCCCTTCCCGGAGAATCCCAGCAAATGCCTCCCAAATCCTGGAGTTCCCAAACTCCTGCAGGGTTTGTGCTGCACAACAACAGGAGAATTCCAGCTGGAACAGCTGGGAAAAGCAGCAGTGAGAGGAGTGAGGAGGGAGCCAGTCCAATCCAACTCACGTGGCATGGAATCCCAGACTGGTTTGGCTTGGGAAGGACCCTAAAGCCCATCCAGTGCCACCCCTGCCATGGGCAGGGACACCTTCCACCAGCCCAGGGTGCTCCAAGCCCCGTCCAACCTGGCCTGGGACACTTCCAGGGATCCAGGGGCAGCCACAGCTTCTCTGCCCAACCTGTGCCAGGGCCTGCCCACCCTCCAATATCCAGGATCTGATGAGCACAGGGTTGGTTTGCTCCATTCCCACAGCCAGCTCTGTTCCCATGGAACACAGGGATTCCCTGAGTGTCCTGCCTGGAAGCTCAGCACTCCTGCCAGGGGTGCCCCCAGACCCAGCCCTGCCTCCCCCTCCGAGGAGTTCTGCTCTGCTGAGACTGGGAGGAGTGGAAGGAAGGTTTGGAACTCTGCAGGAGCTGCTGCAGGCCAGGGCTGAGCCCAGGTGAGTGGCCCAGCAGGGCCCCAGGGCCACCCTGTGTGCACAAAGTGCCCCTGCAGAGCAGCTCCAGGCTCCGGAGGGGACCTGCTAAATCCAGGAGTGTGACTCTGGGAAAGGGGGAGTGGACAGACCTCAACAGAATTTGCTTGGAAAAGCAGAAAATATTCCACTACTTGCTCTGATATTCCTTCAGCAGCTCGGTGTGTTCGGAAGGAAAAAGGGAATAAATAAAAGAAGCCTTCAGAAAAATGAGTCGTGTTTGTGAACTGATTACACTGATGGTGACCAACAGAAACAGAACCCACTTTTCCAAAGGGAAAGGTGACACTGCTCATAACTGCTTTGGGATACCACACATCTAACAGCATTTTCTGCCTTTATGGATCCTGCTCAGGACCCTCCCCATGAACACCAAGAATCAGGACAGGAATTAGAAGATGAACCTTACTCCCACTGGTGCACCACGTTAACCACTGCAGGACCCCAGTCTCCCAGACACTGAGATCCAACCTGCAATTCCAGGCAGTTTAAGGACATATCACCTCTCCAGGGAGTTAAATCCACAAAATGCAAAGTGAAGTCAGAGCTCAGCAAACGAACCCCCCAAACCCTCCTGACACAGCTCTCCTGTTCCACCTCCCTGCTTTGTGGGGATCTCTGTCACCTCCAGTGTCTGAGCATCCTCTCCCTGCGTATTAATGAGACCCAATTAACTGGCTGACACAGCTCCACCTTTGCTGAACAGCCACAGCTCCTCCCCCAGCCACTGGACACGGCAAAGTCCCCAGGAAATGCCTCCAGGAATCAGCTCCACTCAGAAATGGGCATTAATTTACACACACAGCTCCACAGCTCTGCCAGCAGATAAAAAATTATAGAAACACACAACACCCTGAGTTGGAAGTGACCCACCAGGATCAAAGTCCTACTCCTGGCCCTAGTGATGAAAACCAGGTTTATGTCAAAATGTGTTTTCTTAGGACAAAAAGGGAGCCCAAGCCTCACCCCTCAGTGCTACACTGATCAATTCATAACTGTTACACCATTCCAAGTGCCCCAATAACACAACCTGGACTTTGCATTTCATGGGTGGTTTGCATTCGTGTCCCTGGGAGAGAGATCATGGATTCAGGAGCCCTTCCTGTGGAATCCTCCTCAACCCCAGGATGGGACTCCAGCTGAAGGAACCCTCGGCACACCCTGAGCCCTCCGTGCTCTGTGGGTGTGGAACCTGGGAGAGCAGCAGAGCAGCTGAGGAATGCCATGGCAGCAGCAGGACTGTGGCCTGCTTTCTTCACCCACCAGCTCCTCCTTTGTGCCTGATCCCGGGATGCTGCTGGGGAGGGCCCTGCAGAGCTGCTGCTGCTGCTGCTCACCCCGAGTTCCAGCTCCAACACCACCCTCCAACACACTCCTGCTCCTCAGGACAGTCGTGGCCACAAGCACAGACCACACTCTGCCCCCATTTTCTCCCCAGGAAGTGTTTAGTTGGGTGGTGTGTGGGTTTTTTGTTGGGGTTTTTTGGGTGGTTGTTCAGTTTGTTCAGTTGTTTTTTTCTAAAGCAGATCCCACAGAGAGTTAAAGGAGCAGGAAAGCACAGCTGCCCTCCAATTCCTGTCACTGGGGTACAGAACCCCACGGAACCTCGAGCAAGGGGAGGTTTGGGAAAGAGCTGAGCAGAGCTGCTCCCTTCCCATGGCTCTGGGAACCCCTCCAGGGGCTGCAGAGGGACAACCTCCCTCACACACCTGCTGATCCCTTTCCCAAACCTCCCAGTGGAAAAGCTCCCTCCACACCAGCACGTCCCTGCTGGGTGCTCATAGTTCCAAGTTCCTGTGGAAGGGATTGCCTTCATCAAAGACAATCCTTTGGTCCAGCCTCAAACCAGCCTTCCTCAGGTGCCTCCTGCTTTAGCACTGACAGGATCCCCAAAGATTCCCATCTGGCCAGTGACTGGAATCTGAGCTCCCTGGCTCTCGGCACTGCTTGGCCATGTGAAGTGGAAAAACAGGGTAGTGAATCCTGGCAAAAACGTTTCTATTTTTAGGGTAATTCCAGGCTTTTGTGTTCAGTTCACACTGACTTTTATGGAAAATTCCACTTCAGCCTCCTAAGCAAGCTCCCAGGCTGGAAGGTGTCTGAACACAAGCTGATACAGCACAGACCCAGCTGCACCACCTGCAAGAGTGACCAGAACAACTCGTCATTCCTTTGGCCTGAAAGGTGGACACTGCTGGAATTCCTCAGTTCTGCTCCTTGTCAGAGCCCCACTCACTGTTCACTGGCAAAGATGAAGCCTGAGGAATTAAATTCCTAAAGCACAGAGAGAAGGATGCACCACACCCCAAGAGCAGCCAGAGAGAAGCTGCAGCAAGAGGGACTATTCCACTGTACACACAAACAGTATCAGGATGATATTAACACATTGACTCAGCTGCAACTCCTGGTTTAATCCTCCAAATCTGTGGCTCCCAGAAAACCCTGGTGATCCAGACAGAGGTAAAGGAGCAACCAGAGAGAACCAAGGCAAACACAACGGCGGTTTGGGCCTTGGTTCGCTGCAGCTGGTGCCAAAACTCCCTGACTTCATCAATACCAGGTTCAAACCTTGCCCGAGCTGTCCCAGTCCCAGGAAAGGAGTGATGGATCTGCCACTGCAGCCAGGGCAGTGCCAGGTTGTGCTGGCAGTGCCAGGCTGTGGATCACCAGGTGCCCACTGTCACACACCTCAGTGACAGCAAAGGCACATGGCAGCACCGAGGTCTGGGCAGACACAGATCTAACCCAGCCTGCTGGACTCGGCACATGCACGACCACAGGGCTCTAAGGCACATTTCTGGCACTTTCCAGAACCTGCACTGCTTTTCAGACTGTGCAGGTGACACAGGTGTGTCTGGTAACTTCTACCTTTCGGATCCAGGCCTGGGGGCCGCTGTTGGTGAGCTCGTCCGAGGACAGGATCTGTGCCCCAGTGCTGCCCGTGAACTGGCCAGGGATGGAGTTGGACTGGGCCCAGGCATCAATCTGCAAAGGAAAAAGCACAGGAGAGACCACAATAAACATCTGCACCTTCTCCTCTGTGACTCTCCGTTGTTTCTCAGCGCTTTTCATGCTGATCCCTCA